CCCCCCCCCGTCTTGACGCTTGTCCGTCACTGCAACCAGCCTTACACCGGCGTGTATGGTGGGCTGCATACCTGGTCGCTACAACTCTAGTTAATTTCTGGAAAAAGTTGTTTGGTTTTCGCAAATAATTTGGTTCAAGCTCAAGCTAATTTGAAAACCATTGTTTCTACATCTACGACATTGTTTGCTCTTCGGCATTGCTAAACCAAGTTTGGTTTAAATCCTTTTAGGCCCTGTCGTATTGTTACAAAGAAAATAGTATCTTTAGATGTTTTAATTAAGTTCATTCAGAGAAAGAAATACTTCAGCGTATATTATAAAACACATACAAACTATTTCTGCTGTGCAGCAGTGTTTTTAACGCGCTTTTTAATAGCTTAAAAGCAAATTAATATGAAGAAAGTATTTGTTTTTGCAAACAAATATTTGCAGAAATCTTTATTGACTGCAGGAGATAATTTAATTTTCAACTAACGGTAAATAAATTATATTTCATTAAAATAACCTTTACAACTAAATATGAATTTTTTGAAAAAAAAATAATTTTTTTATTTTGGATGTGGCTTCTGCAAATACTACGCGCAATATAGAAACCACTTTAATACACTTTATTCCTTACATATACATATGTCTAAAAAAATTGTGTATTAAATATCCTTTATAAAATGTTTCGTTAAACTAACGCGAAATTGGAAGAACAGATAAAACATACAGAAAATGTTACAAAAAAATCTAATTCTTTGCGTAAAGAAAGATGGCAACGATCAGACCATAGAGACCCAATACTTCTGCGAAAATCAGAATAAGAATCATCCCGACGAATAGTCTGGGTTGTTGAGCGGTCCCTCGAACTCCCGCGTCGCCCACAATTCCAATTGCAAATCCTGCAGCCAATCCTGAAAATCCGACAGCTAGTCCTGCTCCTAAATGCAAAAATCCCCTGAAAATAAAATGTAAGTTCAGTATTTTTTACATAATATGTAATGACATGATGTAACTTTTTGAAATTCGAAAAGTACAAGTTAAAAAAATAAAGTCATCAAATGAATCAATAAAGTTTTTAGTGCATATTCTACACGAAAAACGATCGAACAAATATGTTGTTTATTAGCAAACTGATGCTCCTGAGAAGGTGACAGTGTTCGCAGCAAACAATAATGCTTGTAACCACTGAAAACTGAAATGCGAAAATCATAAAGTGTGGAGTGTGAAACTGAACTAATGAATGTAAGCATGGAACACAGATATATACATATGTCAAGTGTCACACAATCTCGAATGTGTTATTGGAGAATGGAAAACAAAAACCAAAATCATGGGACTCCCAATGAAGTTTAATACATATTACTCTGATTAACACCTGTAGTACCTGACTAGGAATTTAATCGAATAATAAAACAAATGGGTATGTGGATTGAAAACAAACACCAAAACTGAGCATTTAGCAATAAAAGTAATGTAAGTGATTATTTTATTAAAGCACAAGCAATCAAAGAAAGAAGCACCGACGGACAAAAATAATTTCTCTCAATACAGAAATAAAAAAAAATTAAAGCAATGCAGAGAGAACTGCGAAATTCACAGAGTACATCAAGAATAGAGAGAATCACAAACAAAAGTATAAGTAAAATCATGGAGGTAGAATGAATCATTCGGGATGATCCAAAGGATGAAGAACTAATATGGCTTGAAAGCATAGGAAATCGAAAACATTGTTTGTGCGATTGTTTGATTTTCGGTTAGTGGACTGTAAAAACGCTCTTTAATTTAAATCGGTATATTTAATGACTCAAACTAAGATTTAACACGTATTTTGAATGGTGGTCGGTTGTCGGCACGTCGACATGTGTTCGACTTCGACTTCTATGCTTTGACTATAGCCATAGAATAAGGCTTAAAACTGGTAATAAATATAGTAACGATTTAAGCTATTGCTCCCCGAGAGTTATATACCTCATCTTGAAAATAAACACTAGGTATAAGCTAAAAATAATACAAGTCTACGCTCTCACAAAATACCACACCGATAAAGATGTTGAAATATTCTGCGACAACGTATCTAAAGCCATGAAGAAAACCACATACATTTCACTATTATTAGTGCTGATTTCAATGCGAAATAGGAACAAAGTCAGACTCGCAAGAAACTGCTCTTGGTAAATTTGGCAGGCCAGACAGAAATGATCGCGGGGAAACGTTGCTAAACTTTCTACTGGAAAACTTATCTAATAAGAATACCTTCTTCTGTAAAAAAACTCGTAGAAGATTTATTTACAAAAGCCCAGATGAGAATAATGACTATCTATTAACGAACTAGAGACATTTATTTAAAGATGTCGAAATATTAAATAGATTTGCAGCCGCCAGCGACCATGGAATGGCAAGAGCATCTATTCAAATGCGCATCGACAGCGAATGATGTAAAAATATGACTTAGAATAACCCCACAGACACAACAAAATTTTAAAATTATATCTGTACGGCCTGAGAAACGAACAAGCGACGAACGACACAAATGATCTGAACAAGATCGTAAGCACGACAAAGGATGATTTCTGCACGAAAGCTGAAAAGCAAACATAAAAATGTAAACGATGATACTTCTAGGGAATTAGATAGGGATATTTCTAAATGCATGTTTTGAGCCAGGAATACATTCCCGACATCACTATGGAGGAAACATGAGAAACTTTGGAAACCTAAAAATAACTCGAAGAAGACAAGAAGAAGGGAGTCAGTCAGGGACATACACTATCCAAGAAATTGTTCCTTACAGTCCTCGAACACGCATTTAAAAGAATGAACTCCACGACAAAGGGCGTCATCATTGACTGAGAAAGACTTCACCGCTTTGCGGACGATATCGTTCTCCTGGCCGACAACCTCCGTGAAGTCAAAGATCTACAAGACATACAAAATACAGCAGAAGAGGTCGGATTACATAGAAAATTTAATATGGGTTCTGTGATAGTGGTTTTGCAAGGTAGTTGTCTCGTTACTGATGATGTTGAATGGACCCAATAGCTACACGCTAGAGAGGTCGCCGAAACGCATAACTATTAATGTCCAGAAGAATCCCCTTGGGCTGGGCGGCGTTCGGAAGGATAAGAAACCTGTTCACAGATAATATTCCGATATGTCTGAAAAGGAAAGCTTTCAACTGGCGTATAATACCAGTTTTGTCGTATGGCTCAGATACCCTAACACCTACCAATGCATCTATAAAAAAATTTTGATGTAACTCAGAGAAAAATGGAGAGATCGATGCTTGGTCGAGGAGAGAACGAAGAAGACATACGGAGAAGAACACAGTTAAAGGATGTAGTCGATAAATAGCAAGAGTGACAGGGGACCGCTGGACGAAGAGGATACTGGAATAGAGACCGAGAGCCGACAAACGCAACAGAGGTCGACCTCCCACTCAATGGAGCGACGATTTAAAGTTATAAACTGGATTGCGACTGCCCAAGACAGGGAACGTGGAAAATCCTTGAAGATGCCTATATCCCACAGTGGACGCAAGAGGCTGTATGGTGACATTGCTGTCAAATTTATTATTTTACTATTTTCAGATGAATAATGCTCTCTTTTCGGAACAATGATTATGTTTTACATTTCTTTCTTTACTCGGCACTGTACATTTAAAAAATACTTACTTATATAAAGTGTAACCCGTCGCTGGTGTGGTGATATTTCCAACGATTAGAATCGCCACCACAAGACCGTAAATGGCAATAATACCCGCCATGACCACCGGAATAATACACCTCATGATTAACTCAGGTCTCATTACTGCCATCGCGGAAATACCGGTGCCTGATTTGGCCGTTCCATAAGCTGCACCTAGAGCTACAATAAAAGTTACAGCATAGAATATTACAATTTATAAATTGGTATCAAATTCTACTATCTACGATTTTGTTAATTAAAGTTCACCCACAAATCGCTGACCAGATCTTTAACTAGTTGCTTAGATGATTATGCCAATCATAAATCTCAATACATACAAGGTGTTTCATGAGAAAGGAACATTATTTTATAACTACGTATTCTACGTCCGAAAATAACCTTAGTTTGCTATATACAATATGTTGAATTTTAATTTAAAAAATGCAAAATGATAAATTTCTTCAAAATGCCTGGATGTATTTTAACGAAATTGTCCAGGTATCGATAGCTAGGCTAGGGAAGACACGTTTCTTAACAAAATAATGTAGTTCAATTTGTCCAGCGGCGTGCGCACCTCACGCTTCCAAAATTGAGAAGGAAAAAAATGATACGACACTGTATTTTTTATTATTACAATTACATTTCAAATTCCCTGTTGCATTCCAAATAAAAAATGTATCTTGCATTTTTTGCTACAACAAGCGGTTAAGACTCTAAAGTAAGATGGTGTGAGATGTGTTAGGTGGGCCAAATTGGTCACGTTTAAATGGGAACCATCGTTTGTATTGGAGTAAATAAAAACTGAAATTATCTCGTAAAAAGAGTCCTGTGCTATAAGTGTGTGGAGAGCGGAGGTTTAACTTTTGAATACTTGTAATTCTGTATCTTTATTGATAATAGAATAGTCTACATTTTAAAACATTTACATATTTTTGTCTTCTTTAGCCACTGAGTTACGTATACGCTACAGACTACAAGAACGCGTGGACCAGTAACTAATCAATTCATAATTTTAATAAGAAACTGGCATCCGTTTTTATCTACTCGAATACAAAGGGTGGTACCCATTTAAATGTGTCCAATTTGGCCCAATTACCATAAATCTTACTTTAGAATGCTAACGGCTTGTCGTACCAAAAAATGCAAAATATTTCTTATTTGTAATAACACAAGGAATTTTAAAAGTATTTGTAATAATTAAAAAAGACAGTGGTGCACCATTTTTATCTTTAACAAATTCGGTAGCGTGCAGGTACCCACGGTACTGGTAAAAAGTAACAAAATTATTTTATTAAAAAAAAATTTTCGTTTTTTCCCTAGCTATTGATCTCTGAAAAATTTCTTTAAAATATCTTCACCTTTAGGCTAAAGTTTATAAACCAAATTAGGGTTATTTTCAGGCGAAGGTTAAAATAATGCCCCTTCTCATGAACCACCTTGTATATGTGAAAATAATAGAGTAACTATCTATAGACGTTTTGATCAATTTTCACCCATTTTTTTTTTCACTCAAATTGTAAGTAATTTTAAAGAACTTGTTAATGATGCGTAGGATATTATTGTATTATTATTGTTCATTGTTCATGGTTCGTGGAATAAATGTTTTATAATATACAATAAAAATAGCTTAATTTCTTAGCTTGAATAATGATATCATTATTTGATAGTCATAGCGTCAGTTCTTTTTCGATGAGCTGTAACATCAAAAATTCTCTGAACTAATTCAGCTTCCAGAGCGATAAAATTATATGTACATTTTTTGATTAAAGAGGGCAGACATGAAAAGTTCAGAGACATTAAATCGGGTGATCTTACTGGCCAATTTATATCTGATATCGTTATTAGCAACTGATATAAGAAACTCTTTGTATGTGAGACTAAAGTCGGCAATTAATCACATAAAACAAGTTGTCGCTAAGAATTTAGTAATGTTGCTAAGAAGTTTTTTCCTTTAATCTCTAGAATAACATCTCAAAATATCAAAGTTATTTCCAGACACCCTGTATTAATTTCCGATCTGAGTACCTACAGATGGTTGAATCTTGTTGTGTTAGTGATGTTTATCAATTAACTGTTGGCCATTCTTCTAGCATTCGTAACTTAAATTTTATAGAAAAATATTATTTACAAAAGTCGTGGTTATTAGGGACTAGTTTGTTCAGAGACAATATTTATGGAAAGAGTGTCTCACATTTGATTGGCAGACCAAAACTACAATTTTAAAACAAAATGCATTAATTTTCAATGCATCTTCAAACTTTAATTAAATTACAGAAGTTAAGCCATAAAAGCAATCGGAAAGCGACTGGTAAACATCAATACAGTCAACACCATGGATCACACTAAAAGTGAAAAAACTAGCTAAGCGAACGATAAATACATACATCAAATATACGCTATATCAAACACCTGAAAACTGGTAAAACTATCGAAGAGAACGAAACGAGGCATTAAAGTGTAAAAATAAGGAAACTAAAAAAAAACTTTTGGAAAAAGTTCGCAAAAGGAATGGAAAGAGACCTATATGGAAGCCAGCGAAAAATATGGAGAATGCTGAGAAGAAATAAGCTAGAAGTCAAAGATACCATACGAACCAATAAAATAACGACAGAACACTGGGAAACACACTTTAGGAATCTATACAAGTAAGAGGAAGATAAGAAACAGTCAAAAATCGATCATGAACACAACAATGACATAGAATTAACAAATGGCACGATTAAAAACACCTTAAAATCCCTTAAAATAGAAAAATCCCCGGACGACTAATGAGATGCTTAAATACGGAGGAAAAAAATTACAAAATGAAATACTGACCCTATTTAACATTTTTCGTATTTGCTGTGGTATCCAAGATTTCTAGTAAACTCGTCATCGAAAAAAAATCACCCTGTATATTAAATTAATTAAGAAAAAAGAATAAAAATTAATTGCGATTGCGACATAAACGTTTAAAATATTAACTTACTGAACTCGAGATACGGAATCATTGTTTAAACAAAAGTTTATCAATAATTTTCCTTTTCAGGTAGGTACCGCGAAACACTTGCAACTCTGTTAACGCAAATTGTATTTGACCGTTTGTTAATTTTTAATTTTACCATTATAATAAAAAAAATGATTAAACTATATCTGAACAAAATGTATGTTAGTTCAGAATTTTAGCATTGTAATAGATATTAGGTTTACCGAACATTTTCAATCCGTAAACATACACATTTGTGCTTTTTGTCGGTCGTCACCAATCCCCCGTATTACAGAAAAGAGTGTTGCATCGCCTTTGCATTTCACTAAACTTATTCTAACCTTCTCTTCTAACCTTCTGTCTTTTTATTTTATCAGTCTTCAGCGAAATGTAAAAAATCGAATTATTTCATACCAAAATATCTAGTAATGCAACTCCTTTCGATGTCAGCAAACTCATATTTCACTCGTCTTTTGTTTTTAATTCGAATTGCTTTATAGGATAAATTATTATCGTATAGCTCCCCTCTTTCACCACCCGAATCTCGAACCAAATCGAATTAATGCATTCTGAGAAAAGGACTTCTAGTCGAATCAAGTGCGTTGAATTGGTTCAAAATATCCTTTTCTTTCATAATCGAATTAATTATACTCATTCCATATTTATATATCTAAAACGATATTATCTTAAACTGTTTAAAAATATAATCCTCTACAACTTCCCATTTCACATTTTTCACGAAATTTATTATTACAGATGAATTGAAAAGATTGGTAAAAATAGTCAATAATTGTTAGCGATTGCGCAAATGAGATGTTGCTTAAATCCAAAATGAGCAGAGAAGGAAAAAGCTAATGTACACTACGTTTTACTGAAGAACAATCTTTTAGTTTTAAATTACATTGAACTTTTTAATATCTCAACTAATAAAAAAATAAAAATCTGCATGTTAATTACACAAAACAAGTCAATTTGTGCATATTCCAAATCGCAAAATTAAGTGAACATCAACGTTTACAAGTCAACGTTCTGAAACGACGATACTAATTTAATTACTTTGGCGCCTTGAAACGGTAAAACCAAAACAAACTTACATTGGAAAAAATTGCAAATTCATAGATAGAAGCGTGGGCTGTCTTAAATAGCTTTCCGTTATTTCGGCTCTTCCGATAGACAATAGCTGTCTCTACAATGATTCAGTCATCAACCAACAATTTCAAGTGCCCTTATCGAAGATTAAGAAAATTAAAATGTGTGCCAATCATATGACACTTTTTCTGTAGAGACCATGTGAAAATTTCGTTTTTCATAATTTGTGTGATTTTACAGGAAAATGTTATAGCTTAAAATAACTTGAGCAAGTGATTTTGATTATTGTCTTCTACCCACAGTCCTCTTGGTAGGAACTCTTTTGGAAGCGGAAAATATAACGGCACATGTATTTCAAATTTACGCACTTAAAATACTAAAGTACTACATCTGAGTTTTTCCCCAAAAATTCATAAAAATCATAGTATATCACAAGAAACACATTACCTGATATTCACACACATCACATGATACATATATCCAATTTATATACTTACAGCTGAAGATGATAGCGGCGGATGCACCCATAACTCCAAAAAATGGACCATAAATGGGTGCGTCTTCGCTGGTGTCGGACATGGTTAAGTTGATTTTTAATTTTTGATAGTAACTCGACTTAAAATAACTATCAGGTGGGATCCACTTTGTCGTACGAACGGCCGATTGCTAGTAATTAGATCTGTCACAAGGTAGTGATAATTCGACTTTCAAGTACCTAGATATGAAGATTTCAATCTCAGTTGCTTCACTAGGGTGACGTCAAATCACGCTTATTGATAACACAGATTTAAAAAAATCGTACTATAAAATGAGATATATATTGAGACATTGGACTAAGAAATTTAAATAAAAAATGTTTATTTATAACTAATCTCGTTGAAGTATAAATTAAATTTCAAAACTTTCCTCATACATATTTTCTTAATATTTTTTAATGAGAGCTCAATATTCCTCTGAAACTTTTGTTAAATCGTTAAAATAGTGTCTGGTCTATAGGGAAAACGGCTTCTATCGTTTTGATAACGCTTGCTATATGTTTTTTGGCCCTAATGTAAACAAATATTCCAGAATGAGAAAAAATTGAGATTTATACTGGGTGATTCAAAATCAGCTTTATTCCTTTGTAGGGCTGACTTGGGTATACGCAAAAATGTTGAGTATATTTCTGGAATATATCAGCGCCTGAATATACACATTGCAATTAACAGGTTGACTGCCGACTACTCCGATAAGGAAGGACAAATATTCAATCGGTGTTAGCGAGAGAAGGTTGTAGCTAATACGGCGTCTTTGGTGGCGCTAAAGATGAATACCAAACCTGGACTTTTTGGACTGCAAAAACAAGGGAGTAATTCACCTGTGCATAGTTGGATTGGACTCTCAGATGAAGTATTTGCCAGAGTCCGACGATGATAATTTTTGTTAGAATCAGATGCCGCATGAATAGACGTGCATGATGGTAACCAGTCGTTAGAAAATCTTCCGGATGCACCTTTAATTACCAGTCCAGTTCCGACCAATGCGCAACTAAATGTACAGTAAACAACAACAAGGACATTGAAGAAAGTGACTTCCTGTTTTGACTTGAAGCAAAAAAATCAAGAGCTTTTAGTACCGGTACGAGGTAGAGACAGAACTATAGATTTTTTCAATCTGATGATCGGTTACTCTTTTTGTATCACATATTGAAGACCAGGCCAATTGTTATGCACTCCAAACTTTTCTTAGCAGTAGAACATCTGCAAAGTCAACGATAACAAAGTGGAAGAACCTGACTGTTTCAGAATTAAAATGTTTATAGGTCTGCACTTTTATACCAATACTATTTAACTTACACTACTAGACTACTGCAAAACTGTTTTCTGTTGCTAATTTTAAAATAACAGTTTTTATGCATAACAACGTGTTTTATTCGTATTATCGCTAAAATGTAAAGCAACTCAGATCAAAATGTTCAGCATCCCGTAAAAATATTAACGCCTGACGCTGACCACTTCCAACCGGTATAGGTTGTTCCTAATTTGAGACAAAAAATATTGAAAAATATTTAAAAAACATAACCGACATAATGTATGGCATAAATAAAGGCAACAAATGAATTAAAACTTCGGAATCCTAGTGTCTCAAAAATATGGTCGGCAGTTGACCTGTTAAAAAAATCCAAAACTTGGTCTTCTATTTGGAAAAATTACTTTGCTATATTTTAAATTTGATTCAAATTTTAACCGAGTTCGACTAGATTCCACGGACAACCACATGCACATAGTGGCGCCACACAAATCAACCCTCCTATGAACATTAGCCAGGCCAGGTCGATTTCCTTGGGTACTTTTTCTATCAAATGCAAGTTCCTTGTTCATTTGCATTTCGTTTGTGCATTAAGCATTTTCAGTCATTACTTTAAAACATCCTTAACACGTAGACATTTAGTGTCCTTCCACGATTTGAGTATTTCAAGGTAAGTGTTATGATGCCCGGATGCACCGACAGACTTTAATCGCGATTAAGTCTTAAACCGGTTTAAAAATCGAAAACGGTATGCACCGTCGACTGTTTTTACCTTAAACGCGTTTAACTTTAATCCGCCCACGACCGAGGATTAAATTCTTAAACTGGTTTAAATACATAACATAACTTTTGAAATTGAGGGTTTTGCTATAGGTAAAGACGAGGTTTTGTTTTCGTCCTAGCAAATTCTAGTCGGTTCGTGTGTTAACTGCTTGGAAAATGGAGTTGGAAGAAGAAATTATATAAGACGATGATATTGATGTTTTAGAAATAATTGATTTTGGTTTTCCAAGGAGACAATTACTCCGGACAAATTATTTCGATGCACTTGACGAAATGTCTTTTTATAGACGCTTTCGTTGAACAAAACCAGTCGTTTTTAGATTGCAAAAATAAATTGGCCACCTTCTAGAATATCCCAGTACCTAAGATTTCTATACTGCTTTAATCAAAATTAATTCCTCGGTTTCAGTCATTTATTGTCTTTATTTATCAATTAAAATACGTTTCGGTGTATTTTTCCACCATCATCAGTTTTTCTAAAATAACAGATAGTTAAAAAAAA